GCATAAATCCATAAAATGTATTGCTTAGTAGTTTGGTAACATTCCGTTCAATTATGTTTTGTAGCCCCTGGCTACCAACTTATTAAATGAAACACAAAAGAGACAACACTTCGTCAAGTATTTTTTTAAATATTGCTAGATTTGGTGCAGAGACTGAATACTTTGGAATAATTTGGAATAATACTTTAGAATAATTTGAAATAATTTGGAATTTTGGAATTTTGGAATAATTTGGAATAGTGTGCCAAGGTTGGCACACACAGAGAGAAAAGAAATTGCTACGGCATTTAAGTCGGCTATATTGTATTGTCAGTTTCAAAGGATGACCTCTTAGTCTAGCTTTGCGGTTCACTTCCAGCAGCGGGAGGTAAGTGTGGGTTGGGATTTTTAGAATCTGGTAAAACTTTATGAAGTCCACCTGCAAAAGCCGGTACCAACCGCTGTATCTTCCTAGGGACTGTAATTTAGGCGGCCGGAGCAGATGGAAGAGACACGCAACGGTCTCGTTTGTTCTTCGTTGAGGAGTCTCGAGAGCCACGAGATCCTGCTTCTGCCGCGGCTGCGAAGCCTGGATAGCATGTTCCACATGCGGTCGCACGTATTCGTTAAGCATTGGTGGTAAGATTAAGGGTTCAAACCGACCGAACGCTTTGCGAAGCAGACCGAAGTGTTGGTTGCCACTTCTCGATGCTTTCTCTGTTTTTTTTTTGAGTATCCGAGATCGTCCTGTACCAATTAAACTAGGTCACGTTCCTGAGAGACCTACTGCAAGCTGTGGTCTCAAAGCTTGTAAACCCCCACCGGCTGGTGAAGCTGATTGACCACCTTGCACTTGTCTGTGTTCAACTGAAGCAGGTTCCTCGTGGACCATTTATAAATGTCATCTAGTTGCATTTTTTCGTTATGGTTGAGCAGATCGTGATCTTCCATGTTAATATTTGCCCACCATATTTTGACAGCATCTGCGAGAAGCAGGAAATTGAAAGAGCTAAGTTTTTCCAGGTCGTTGATAATCACAAGGAACAGACGCGATTCCAGCATCAAGTCCTGTGGAACAGCACAATCAAGCTAAATCGGGTTAGCTTGTGATCTCCTAACACCCACTTGAAGCATCCGTTGATGAAGAAAGTTTGCTCTGCAAGCAAGAATATGATATTCCATTCCTTTCACTGTAGTCTGGGAAGTAGAATGCGGTGATCCAGGCGGTCTGGAGCCTAAGAAAAGTGTAGATAGCTGACTTCAACTCTGACCCCATCATCAGCCACTTTCGTCTACATACCTCGTGCCATTAGCAGTTTGGTTGTGCATGGCCGGTTTTGTAGCAAGCCAAGCGTCTCCACTGCCAAGATGTTGTATTTTTCCAGGTAGTCCATTAGAGCCTGCGCGACGACCACGTCATCACCTTCGCTAGCACATGTAGGAGAGTCACTGAGCGATAGTTTGAAGTACCTGAGCAGTTCCCGCATTTAACAATTGGGGTTATAATGCCGCTGTTCCACAACGTAGGGACTTGCTGGGCATCCAAAAATCTTTGGAAGAACTGTGACAGTGGCGTAGCTATGCTGGTGGTAGTTACCTTCAGGGTTTTGGGCATATGTCTCCTACTCTCGGAGGGCAACGATAGCGATCGTGAAAACTACGTAAGTAAACCATGGAGTCAATAAATTGCTTGACGTTATGGGACAAGTAAAGGCTGCAAGTTCGAAAGTGGGGCCTATTGTAGCTGCAAGGCGACAGCTGCTTCTTCGGTGCATTGTACTCTATCGATTGTTGTGAAAATTGAAGGGATGCCATGCGTCAACTTAAGAAGACTGTTGGCATGCCGATACCGTATTTTGTTGTTTGCCATCAACTTTTGGCTGTCACTGCTGATAAGTTACTTTGTACTTAAGGATAAGTACAGCGCAGTGGTTGCGACGGGTCACGGTATTGCTCAAATTCGGGGTTAGCCTTGTGGGCACGCCATGTTGCATCCCATATTGCTGCGCATTTTCTAGTTCTGCTCCATAGAATTCAAGTCATTTCTGTGAAACGAAGCGGCTTTGTCTCCCATGCTTTGTTGACCATGTCAATGCCTCTCGATGAACTCTGCCCAAATGTTTTCATGGGGACTGCTGTTCGTGAATTCCCAAGCAAATGCCTCGACGAGCTATTTCAAGAAGTGGTAGCGTGTGGTTGTATGAGTTAGTTAAGAGGGTTCATTTGAATACTCTGCATAACAAACATAGTCAAACGTTATTACTACATGGTCGCTGAGACCTAATTTACTATCCATCAATAACTAAGGTTGGGCTTTTCACTAGCGGAGAGTAAGATGAGGTTAGTGTCTAAGAAGGGACGAAGAAGTGATTCGTGCTCTACACTGTACTTCGAAGCGAGTGGATTATTCATAACCTGGACTGATCCATATATGAGAGCCTAACGACTAGTACGTTAACTGCAGCTAACAGAGAAGTTAATAATATCAATTTCTAACATAGTACAATTGCGCAAGCACGTCAGACCGCATGACGTTAAAGTAAAGGTTGGAAAACTTACTTAAAAATTGTCCATGATCAATTAAAAGTAATCTTTATTAGGCTTGCTCTCCGTCACTGCTTGTTCGAGCTGACCGATCATTCCGGATAAGATTAGATTTGAGGATTGTGAAGGTGAGCACTCCCAATCCAGTATCCTATTTAAACATACAAAAAGCCCCCAATGAATTCTCTGACCATGGATAAGCTATTTTAGATGTTTTGAAGTATATAGAATCGAGACAAGCAGCCTCGCATCTACTTTAGTTCTTTAAACTATATTCTGTGATGAATTTTTATACTACACGAAAGAAGCTAGTCCAACGGAAAGCTTTTTGAGTACCTATGCCCCATGAATTTACAACATGGTTCTAACCTTCACCCCTAATGAAATATTGAGAATTATTATAGACAATCGTCAGAAAGGTACTTTTACGCTAGGATCGAATCGTGACTTCACATAGTTGAATTCCAGCGCATATACTAGTTGAGAACGCTCATAACTGTGCTAGATTATGGGAGTGAAAAAGCAGAAATAATAAATTTCATGTTATCTTTACCCCATATAAGTAAGTTGCTGCTGTTCACAACCTGTGCGATCTACTTGCAGGTGAAGTCTGTTTCTTCCTATCATACTGTTTAGATTTGCTGTCTCAAAAGCACAGGCGGCACAGATACTTTATGTAGGTATTTTCTTGCGTAAACACGAATCTTGTCCTCTTAATTACACGCATTTAATCTCATTGAGATCATTATGGCATCATTTCACCAAAACCGTTTGGCTATTTGGATATTTTCCTTCACTTTAGTTGTGTGAGCAATTGGTAAAGATGGATATTGATTACAGTTGCGCAATATGACACACTTCGAAGTTTTGCTGCAGCAGTCTATAAAATCCTCCACTTTCGTGTTTCTTAAATTGATAGTCCTATTAGGATAATATATGCAGTATGATTGCAGCCAACCTATTCATCTTCAGTGAAGAAGGGCAGAATTGCCACTTACCTTGAGTGATAAGTTGTTATTCTAGTCACCGACTTCAAGCTCTTTCTTTTTGAAACCTAGATGTTAACAGTTCGGATGTATGTTTGGACAAACTGTGTCCTCGTATGAGACTGATCATTTCTGTTTGTGTACGTGGTTGTGGGTTTGAGAAACATTTTCATATCAGCAGCCACAGCTTTCACCTGTACTAAAACAAGAATCCTCTTCATTCAATCCTTCATTGACGAAAAAATAAAAGTCAGACTGTAAAGTGCACACAGACATGGGAACTTCTGCGCTATGGGGTACAGATTACCTAGCTGACTCCAGAGCAGTATGTTCACATTCCCATGTCATGTATCGAGTAATCCTTTTCACCTTCACGGTACAAGTATAACGATCATCGTGATGGCTTACTGATTCTATCTGTACCATAAGCACAACAAAACGCAAACCTTTCATTGCATTTGTTTTCCACTGGTGACACAGCACAGCTTCTGCAAACCTAATGAGGAATCCAAGATCTTTGCTTAACTCTACGTTTTGTAGCAATGCTTGCGCGATATCCTTGACTCCCAATGGTTTGTCATAAGGTAATGACCACACATGTAGCAGAATGAAACGAACTTGTTTAAACAGCTACTTCAAGGAGAACTCAGATATCAGTAGAAAAAGAAACGTTAATAAATGTTTATTAATATTGGTAAGTAAAAATTACTTATTTAATTATTAGATCTCATAAACTAAACTGGTTTAAAACACTGCCTTAAAATTTGGAACCAGCACCACCGTATGAACATCAATGCCTTGTAATAGCCCCGGTACCAGAAAAAAGATTTTTGTTGACAAGTGTATGATTTCTTCCTATTTATTAAAACGAATAGCTCTAGGTTCCCAGTGAAGTTGTGGGGGTTTAAACTGCACACTGGAGAGGTGATTAAATACGTTTAAGCATGCTCCGCCCATGTCCTTTCATAGACATTAGGCTTTGGATAAACTAATATTTTCTGTTAGAATAAATCAAGCGGCAGAAGCCGTTGTCAAGTAAATTTTAGCTTGAATAAATGGTTTCTGGGTCAAGATGCATTTGCCTTCAACATAAATAAGGACGCATTTCAAATGCTCGAGGTTAGCGAAACACCTGTCATGTCTGCACTAAAGGTACTGTACATGCGCTCACGCATCTCTAGGATGTCATTTGCTTTGCGAGTTTCCTGTCATTTCCACAGTGCGTGGAAGGTGATGGATTCACAGCATGTGAGTGGATCCCCAGTACGCGATTCGAAGAACTAGCTGGTCACTTCTATGGTTTCAACCCGTCCCTCACACCTATGGATAAAGTTAGGCTGTCTGCACCCTGAACTGGCCACTCGTTGATAAATAACAGTGATGGTGTGTTCCATCGGTCTGCCTGATCATCCTTTCCCTTCAGGGGGTGCCATCAGACTGCATCACAGGGATAGAACTGTTTAATCGATTTCCATCGCTCCATCCTTCCAGCCCTCTTTTGGGTGCTGCTTGTCAGTCAACTCCTCTGCTCCATCGCACACGGTTACTTGTTGGAACCACAAGGCGCACTCTTGCGACCCAAACGGTGGTCACTTACAGAGATCCATCGATGTGGACCAATCAAGGGATACAGTTGTATGGATCACGAAACCTGTCGAAGGCGATATCTGCGCAAAGACATGGTCTGCTTAGAGGTCTATCCTTGCTTGAGCTCATGCATCTTTGCCGCTCAGGTAAGTTAGTTACTGTTTGGTTTAATAACCGCCGCAACGATCAATTTACATGAAAAACTAGTCTAAAGTAATACAATATTTCATACAGACGGTTTACTTTATTGGTTCATTGAAAGCGTATTATATTTTGCCGCCCGTAACCTACTGCACTGCTTCTAATTTGGCCACTATAGCAAACTTTTCCATTGCATTTGACTCTATTTGTGTACCCCTTTTCAGTCTGATGGTTGATATACATAAAACCAGTTGGTCATGATAAAATGACATAATCGGGTCCGCAGCGCAGGTTTTCTGTGTGCGCATAAACAACAAAACTTTGTGACATCAAGCGCCAACGGAGTATGAGCCATCGACAAGATCAGACGATATGAAGAAACTCGAAATTTTGTCAAGTGACATTATGACCCCACTGGTACCTTCTATTAAAAGTAGAGTGGTTTGCGATAAACGTCTGCCATTGGACAAATAATATTGCGACTAATCTGATAGCTTGAAGTACAGTCATCTTTCAAGTTAAGATGGTGACACAGTCTGGCGCTGTATCTAGGGATACAGCGGGAAATACGTATTGAACTTCACCCAAATTGGAAGGGGAAAACGTACATGCAGACCACGTAGTGGTTAACAGTGACTATATGAGCAAACTCTTAATACGCAGTATCGTAAACTCCAACGATTGCCTTCATTGACTGCACTTTATGGAATAATAATAATGCCAGGTTTCATCCGAACAAGTCATTCTGATAGTGGCGTCGTTTAGATTACTTGACTTTCCCACGGAAATCGGCTTCAGGACAGATATGCCTTTATCTCGCAAAAAGTTTGAGGCAAACAAAGGCAAAAAGTCCAAAATATACGGTCTATCATAAAGTTATGAAAAACCCCAAATGTGCAATGGCAGACCTGCGGAAAAGCTACAGATCCATATATAGCAGCTGAGGGGTATACTTTTTAATTCGTGCGAAAGTGTGCAAAATGGCCATATCAGCTCGAGCACACAAGATATTGTGCCAAATTAAATAAAAACATGCGGTTGTCGAACTGGCGAGATGGCTGGTTCTGGTATCTTCCGGAGTTGCCGTAATTCGATGAAGATTAGATAGAGAAATTCAATTGATTGTTACTTCTTATCTAAGTGTTATAGTGGTTTGCTTTGAGGAAAATCGCACTGTAAATATGTTGTGTATATTAGAAGGTCGGAAAATGATCTAACGCATTAAAATGTTTAAGACCGCATAGTGTATAAACCATAATATATACGTTGACTTATTTAATATTTTGTAACTTAGTTACTTGCTTACTTAATTAACGAAAGCTGTCATACTGGGCATACTTTAAAAGTGCGTAAAGCACACCTTAAGAAAAAAATAAGACCACGGTGTTGCAAAGCAAACTAGAGGATTTTGACATGAAACTTCGTTGACCATGACGTTGATTCCAATGGATGCCGCAGCAAACGTTTTGCCACTATAGATGTGAATGTATTTCGCAAGAGGTAACACTAAATTAGACGTTGTGTGTTAAATTTTGCTAAATGTTCTCATTTGAGAATGTACTGCGACGCGCAAACCGTCATCAACATCTATCACTTTTCCTTACTGAACCTTACAACTTTGCGTTATCAAGAGTGGGATGAGGTACTTTGCTTTAGTTGTAAAACTGTTCGTGTTTGGGAATTATGCCATCATATTCGAAACACATAAATCACACCGCCTCAGTTACCCTGAATTAACCTTATTAGAACCAGTTCACTGGGTACTTTCGATATACGATAAGGAACTCGCAGATAGAATACGTCATAATTTCGGAGTGTTTGTGCTCAGGTTCTAGAAACTTTCAAAGAGCTCAGTACTGATTTTGCGGTGAGAACTTTCAATCTGTAGTCCTCAGAGTTTAAAGCTTCGAAATAGGGAAGTAAACATTTAGGACTCAATTCATCTTCGTAATGTACTCTGTTAATCTACATAATGCATACTGAGACCACATGAATACTCAATCAATATCCGGGAAATTTAAGTCCCTCATTTGTGATTTTCTGGACGTGTACGAGAAGTTGTCTGTGGCTGTAAATTTATCTGGCGAAGTGACGACTCTACCTGAACATTCGTGATGGTCTATTGCTAGCTGTTTCTAAATTTTTCACACAAATTACCGATCAGAACTGAGTATGTGAGTGTGTTTGTTCTGTAGATAACCTGGCAACAAGAAAGCATTTAAATCACGTGTTTCCAACTTGTATTTTGGGGTAATGGGTGGCTGCCGCAAGGCAACAGTTCATGCGTTACAACGACCGTCACCACAGTGGAAGTAGCGGACTGCACATTCCGGACAAGCACAGGCTTGCACCACAGATGAGAAAGGCACAATTCGTGATATGCGCCACCGTTTCCGGCAGTATAGCAATCCACATTGGGCCTACATGGATAATAGTAGCCTTAAGCCCAACACGAGTGGAACTGAATTACACCCCACAGCTTAAAATGGTCGTACTGTGATTTATGGATCTTCGGCGACCGTGAATTTATGCAACTGAGACGAAGCACTTGGAAAATAACACCAATCTCCTCATCAGCTGCCCTAACTATAATAAAATTGTTGGAGAAAAGATGCATGAGCAGGTCAGATTTGGCTACACTTGTTGACATGGTTAGGAGCAGATCACGATGGTCTATGTGTTATGAGTTCCTTTGACCATCCCCTCTGCTAAACCTCCTTCTCCAACCACAAACTCAAGTAATAGGCATTATATGACTTTTAGAGGCACAATATCCGGCTGTTAGCTTTCCGGAACGACGTTCATCCGTTACTGGTGACTTAGACAGTGTGCCACTGTTTCACCTATTTTCTTTTCTTTGGTATTGTGGCACCATAGCTGAGGTGTTGTATCTCTGCAGATAGCACGTATAATGATGAGGAACTAAACTAAATAGTTGCGTTTTATGTTTTAGTAAAGTCCAAATAGGTTGTGGTTACTCTACCACATGCGGTGTCATTACTGAATATATCGGATTATGTATGTTTACTTCCGGGTGCGGTCTTACCGAACCGGTCTGAGATGAGTGTAACCGATCAATGGTCTACTACCGATTTGATGTTACACCTTAGACACAGGTTGAGATGAGCGTTACTCACTCACAAATACAAAGTAAACGAGCAAGGTTTATGCAACTTTGCCCATGCCCCTATGAAACTGTAATTAAATTTGAATAAGACAGTTTTATTTTTAAAATGTAGAGAATGATTATGCAAGCTTGGGGTCATGGGAACAGCTGCATTAGGGCATCCATCCCTGAGCCTTTTTATAAAATACTATTTGGCCTCAGTTGTTCTCAAGTGAACGGTGCCGAACCGCAGTTGCCAATCGCTACTGTATTGGGCTACAGGCACCTGGTTCCTGGTGCATTCAACAGATTTTATACCCACTTTAGGCTACTTGTGAACTGACGTGCTTAAGTATTGAGATCTTTCACTGAAAGATTATAATCAGCAGGTGGAATCCTGGTACGTTCAATATTTTTTACATACTTTCATGAGTGTATGGATATTTTCGACAACCCATACGTCACAATAGCTAGAACATTCAGACTGTTCATGGCGCTAAACTGTCTATTCATATGGTCATGTGGCCGGAAATCACGAGTCTCTTTTAACTTGTCGTGTGCTCATTGGAACCTCAGCCACTTTGAATGACTTTTTACTGGTTTCTACAGATAAAGCAATTACTAATAAAGTTTCTGAATGGAAACTTCATACTAGCGTTACGACATACAAAAAATAATTCCACGAAAAGCACGGTGAATAAAGAGCTATTATTTATGAGCCATTGGTTATAAGGCTACTTGATTTTGTCATAGGTTTACTCTTTGGGAGGAAAAATAACACCCATTCCATACTATTTTCACTTTTATCTCATCCACCCTTCCAGTTGCTCGACTTGGAACGGTTAAAATCCCAAGTACATAGACTCATGTTCGAGGGCATCCCGGTTAATACACATGAAGACCCCATTGGATACATTCGAAATATTACCAGAACAAAGTTGAGCAGTACCGTTTTGCTGGAGGAACAAGAATGATGACGTCAACCAATAGGGAAAAGCTTCAAATCAATTGCATGTTTAACTATGCTGTTGATAATGCCAAGACGATGTAATTTCTTATTCTTTCCGATTTAGCAATGCTTACATAGGTGTTCTATAGCAAATAAATATTTGGATTACTTCATTGTTGATACTTCGGTTGGTCTGTCTTGTATTTTGCTATGCATAGAAAGGTGAGTGTGATACTATAGTAACCTACCTGGGGTATATGCTACGCCTATTCTAAACGAGAAAACAGATGTATAACCAACGAATTGCAAGTTCATCCGACATTTTGAGTACACCTATGGGGAAATGGTAAAGTCACCTAAAGAGTTAAAATCATTTTAATACTACGAGAGTTAAACGATCAGTCATGGGTGGAGGAACAATACAATGAGCGAGTTCCCAGCCGCGAGCCTGTAGATGCATTTAAAATGATCAGCGGTTCTCACTGCGCAACCGGAGCTATGTCAAAGCCTTCGACTATTGGAAAGTGCATATTAAATGTGGCGTTGGCTTGCGTTAAGTTGTTAAGTTAAATAATGGCTTATCTTTGGACGGAGTATAGCAGGGGCTGCTTTTTATGCGCTATCAACAAGGAACTTAAGTTTTATCATAGCAATACTTCAGGGGATACAAGATGTCCTCACCAGTAAATTCCCTCCCTCCTTTGTACTGATATCAACAGTACATCCGTACCCGATGTTGTAGCAAAAATTGTCATCATACCCGGTCTAGCTAAGTAAGGTTTTGCGTGTTATCTGGGATATGCCAGCGGCATATTTCTCAGACAATGACCCGGTAGTGTCAGTGGATTAATGTAAAAGACTTCAAACAAAGTGGATTTTGTGTCTAAATGAATACCGGATAAGATAAAATGGCTGCTGGACAAAGGTGCAGAATTTATGGTTAGAACACAAAGGCGGCATGCAGTTTTATCATTACTTGGCTGCGAAAATCTAGGCCATCAAGTTTATTTCACGTACACATAAACATTTGCGACGGAACGGGGAATGCTGTGGGCAAAATTCACACTTGTTTCGTTTTGTTATAAATGCTTTCTGACACTAAACTATTGACAATGAGCTATTAGCACGTTCTTCTCATAAGTACAAGGGATCAGTAGGTGGCGTTGTGTGGTATAGGTAGAAATTCATTATTCAGAGAGCTATTAACCACAGACCAGCAACAGCCTCATAGCCTCATAGGAGTCGGATTGACTGCGCAGTGTTGATGCTTCCCAAAAGGATGAAACTGTGTTACTGGGCTTTTCCCGTCTTGTTATGTCTGTTTGGCTGGGTCTATATGTGATTCATTTCTAGTAATACCATTTTCATAATTATTTGCAACGCCAAACTATTCACCTTGTGTGGTTCTGGAATCTAAGTTATCTAACCGAATGGCCGATCTTCGGCTTTTAATGGTAGTTCGTTGCATCTCCTACTAAGAAGTAAGTTGCAACTTGCATTTTCCCAACTGTCCGTTCTTTTAGTTTAAAGCATCTCGTTGCCCCAATAGTTGGCATTGCTTGAACCCAGGCTTTATAATGAGAGGTGAATTATGTCATCCAACTTCTGTGAACAAGCAATTTATGTGAATAGGATTACAGAAGCAAAGCAAGAGGAAAATAATTGTTGTCCGCCCGAAAACACTGCACTCCGTGGCGCATTTCGACATTTTCTTAATCTGTTGTCAGTTGTGCTAGGTCCCTTGAATTACTTTCCTAGTGAAACCATCAAGTATGTAGCAAAACAGACACACTATCTTTCCGATTAACATACAGTCCTGTGAGTTTTAAGGACAAGGGGTTCCATTTTGCACGTGTTCCAGTAGAGCAGTTGTCTCTAAACTTATTTCAGGGCGGGCCGGACAGCTGACATAATGATCAGCGTCTGCCGCGTAATCAGTAAATAATGTTTGTAAGCTAACATGAAAACAGACAAAATGGATAAAAGCCAGGATAAGCATTGTATGTTATTCATGATGGAACGACAAGCAACCAGGGACCAGATGATCTTCCTCCAGCCCTCTTCAAATTCGGGGGACGTGCTCTGATGGTTGATTTATACGAGTTACAAGTGAAACTGTGGGAGCAGGAAACTGTCCCAACCGATTGGAGCCGCTCCGTCATAATCCCAATTTTCAAGGCAGGCTCACGATCGGGAAACGGCAACCATAGAGGAAACAGTCTGATCTCCATCGCCTCCAAATTGCTTGCCTCTGTTATTCTTCACAGACTGACTTGCACCTGTGATAGCCACATTCGTGAGGAGCAAGCCGGGTTTCGTCGAGGTCGTGGCTGCATCGACCACATTTTTACTTTGCGTCAGTCGTTGGAGCACCGTCACATATATTGGCGGCCCACCCTTGTCGTGTTCCTCGATATCAAAGGTGCATTCGATTCGGTAGATAGACTTGCACTTTGGGACGGTCTACTCAGAAATGGTGTATCTTAGAAATATGTAAATATTTTCCGATCATTATACGCGGGTAGCTCAGGCAGAGTGAAGGCTTACAGCAAGCTGACATCGCCCTTTAGTATCTCCAGCAGTGTGAGACAAGGATGCCCGCTGTTACCTTTTATCTTCAACTTCACTACTCACGAAGTCATGGAAATCGCGTTCACAGGACACGACTTAGAAGGTGTGGACCTGCTCCCAGGAGAACGACTTCTTGACTTGGAATATGCAGACGATATTGCCCTAATATGTGACAGCTCCCAGACGTTCCGAGTGGCACTGGACATATTAGCACTGGCTGTCAGCAGCTTCGGGTTTCGCTTTGCACCATCGAAGTGCAAAGCATTCCTTCAAGATTGGCCTGGACCGACTCCTTCGCTGACCCTTGGTGGGGATCAGCTAGAAGTCGTACAAAAATTCCATTAGCTGGGTAGTTGTATCAGCGCCCGTGGGATTGAAGATGAGATCACGTACCGTACAGCGAAAGCTCGAGGAGCTTTTGCTAACCTTCGCCACTTATGGCGCCGGTGTGACTTCACTCTCGCCCTGAAGGGTAGAGTGTACAATGCAGCAGTACGTTCGACCCTACTGTACGGTTGTGATACCTGGCCCCTTAGATCAGCGGACATAAAGAGTCTAGTTACGTTCGACCACCAATGCCTTCGCAAATTAGCTCACATCTGGTGGGAACACCGCGTGAGCAACGAGCGTGTTCGACTCCTTGTTTACGGCACAGGAAAAGGAATGAGCCGCTCAGCACCGTTATTTTACGCACCAAGCTCCGATTGCTCGGCCACGTGTTACTCATGCCAGCCCACCGACTCCCGCGACGTGTCTTGTTTACGAGCCTGGGTGTGGATGGAAGAAGATGAGAGGAGGCCAATAGATAACTTGGTCAAGAGGAATGAAGGCCCTATCTTCGAAGTTGGCCTCAGTTGGAGCGGCTCGGCTCCCTGGTTGGGGTCCGAAAGAGGATTAACACGTTGGGCTGGATACACTTGTTGATATGGCTAGGAGCCGACCTCAGTGGTGTTCGTGCTCTGAATTTCTTTGCCCCACCCCATCCCTCTTAGCCTCCTTCTCCAACTACGATCTTATTATTTAGCATTTTATAATTTTGCATAGCAAATTATTTTTTCTGTTGCATAGTAGCCGGCAATTCGCTTACCGGGACGATGCCCATCCGTTACCGGTAGCTTAGCTGGCTTGCAGTAGTTGTATTTTATTTCCTTTTTTCTTTTAGGTATTGCTGCACAGAAACTGAGGTGTTTCCCACCTCTAGCTAACGTGTATAATGTGTATATTGCAAGCAACCAATGCAGTTAAATGTTGAAAATGTTACCAAAGTTAAGGATAGTTATGTCAGACCTAGTGTACACATGTCCGAATCACACAAGATAAGTGACGGAATTGATTAGAGAGATTTAAGAAATTGGCGTGTTTCCTTCAAGACTTGTTCAAGGAATGGTTTAAAGATTGCTTCATCTCATAAAGTTGATGGCACCTAAGTGGTCATCAGTCAATGTCGTACGAGGTTTTGAATTCGCATACTCCATGTCATACCAGTGGAAAATTTCTTCCTTTCTGATAACTCAGATTCAGGTGGGTAGCGGTAAATACAGCACGTTTTCCTTCAACAATTGTTTGTTTGCAAATCCATGTGCCCCAACTGTAGTTCACTTGGCACATTTCTAAGTTTATAAGCAAATAGATCCTTCGATAAGCGATTTGCATAAGTGATTTTTTCAAGACCTAAAATGCTTTCCAAAGTTGATCCTTCAAGTCACGAATAATTAGTTTCAGAAAACGAACGTCGACATTTTCAGCGACATTACGTTGCACTCTTAGAAACAGCGAACCTGCGGCTGTGCATCAAACACTGCCAGTTTTCTCCAAAATCCTTTGCTGACTATGTAGAGACCACAAGTGGATTATCCTTTATTTGATGTCTTAATTGCAGTTCATTCAGGTGGGGTGTAATGTCGACCAGGTAGGTTGTATCAGCTGTGGATTAGCTCTATTTCTTAATTCGACTATATTTCTACTTCGTTCCGAAGCTTGTTAAAAGGGAACCTAAATTTACCAAGGTGCGCCACCTCACGTATTTGTAATGATAAGATAAATAACAGAATTCTAAATTGACTTCCACAAGGAAAGACTAGAACTGACAGTACTAAAGTGCCTGTCTCTCATTGCTGTTAATAGCAGAAACGACAGGTTTCGATACGGAAACATGGGTAGACTCTGCTCACAGTGCTTGATGGTGTACAGTGAAATGTGCAACCGGAGCACCCGGAGGTTGCAAATCCTCTAACTGAGTACAGATCTGCCCCATCAGACCTATCCTCACTGCGGCCGTGTTCTTTCTTCTATCGATGTTAATGTCTCAGAGTTAATTGCGCGCAAATCTATTTTCATCCAAGTTGATGTTGAATTTCCACGAAATTGTCTTCTACACTTGCTGTTCCAGGCATACTACAAACTGATGCCAAGCCATCTGTTATCTGAAAGTCTAGAGACATCAAGAATGAGAAC